TTTAGCATACAATCTTCTGATATGACCTATGCGATATGTTGCAATCATCTGAGTGTGATTCGCATGCAGTGATTTCACAAAATTAGAAATTTTGTCCATAGTTGGTTTCGCCGAGCCATGTGCAAAGCTGAATCTAATCGCCAGCTTTATTCCTACCGACATCTACACTAGTTTTTTTCATCCAAAGGGGCAATAGCAAAATTGAACGAACACAATGAGCAAGCACCGCAACAATGAGTTGCTATCGCGTGACTTGCTCCGAAAAAACACACAGCAGCTTGTGTCGACAGCTAAAAGCGAACTGAGATATCGATGTTAGCGTGAACACCGAACCAACTCAACCGGGTCCTCAAGCTTGGTTTTTGGCGTTCAGGTCTCTTCGCCAACAGAAGGGGAAACTTCCACCCCAATGGCTTCGATGGTTTTCAGCTGAGAGTCGGCAGAAGCCGACAGTAGATGTTTCTCCTTACAGCAATGGCCACTCCCCTTCCCTGGAGCTGATCCGATCAAGCCACGTGAGCCGGAAAGCAGAAAGGAAGATGTTTATCTCGGGTTTCAGGTAAGTTTCAGTGATGACGGCAATGTCAATATTTTGCTCATTGAGGAAATTTACAAGCTTGATGTTCTTGCTTTTGAGCGAGCAAGCGTTCCAGTTTTCTATCGTTATCATTTGCCATTTTCTTTGACGAAAAAGTCAGGTCGTATTTTGTTTGGCAGCTGCGCAAACGAGTGGCAAGCTTGGTGAATACGTGGAACAACTGCTCCGCTCCGAATAGAGTGCTGCCGATGGCTGATGGCAGGCAAATTCCGCCCGTTTTTCTCCGGGAGGGGGGGGGGGGGTTGGGGGGTGTTTGTTTAGGCCATTTTTGCGTAATGAATTCCGCTCCATATGAGCTGTCCCGTTTTTGCGTCAACTTCCTCGATCATGTCGCAAACATCGAGTTTGTGTTGTTTGCCACACTTGTTGCAGCGACTGGATGACTTCATGCTGGACCGGTTTGTACCGATCCTATTTCACTACGATATGGAACAGAGCCTTGATGTTCTGGAGATCTTTTAGGCAAGTTTACTGTTTTTTCCAGATGGATCAGATAAAACTGCACTATAAGGATTCAGGTGTCCAATAATCGAAAATTTAATTATTCCTATTCTTGATTTGTGTTCGTCCATCGGTAGTAAGCTATGCAATGTAAGTCCCCCAGAAGTCAGATCTGTAAATCATATACTTACTAAGATATAGGTAATTGAGATTATGCTATTCATAACTTCATTGTTCAAGACTTCATTGTACCTACATAACTGCAAGATATTGACTTTAGAATAGTGTAGAAAGCATTAAATGTCTCATTGATGTTGTCAAAAGACTCTATTGAGCTTCACGGACTCATAGAGATTTCCAAAACATTGTTCAAGACTTCATTAAACCAGAAATTGTTCAAGAACTCATCCTTAGAATATTTTGGAGAGCATTAAATAGCTGTTATTTTCAAAAAATTCTACATTTGGTCTGTAAAACTCCGAGATCTCTGGAACAGTTAATGTGATAACAGCAAAAAAAAAAAGGTTGTTATTTCCATTTAACTCCACTTTGCATTTTGTAAACATGGCAGATACGAATTTCGACTACAATGTGCAGTCTTCATCAGTGCCATTTCCACTGAAGATCTATTGATATGTAACCACCTCAAGGTAAACATGTCAAGCTCAGGTATAAAAATGGAACTATAACGTGCAAAATCTCAACAACTATTTAACAAAGAAAAATCCCCCAATGGTTTGTATCTAAGCTTGATATGATTAGCTAGAAAATGAGTACCTAAAATGTGAAAGTGAAGTAAGTAAATAACATATTCAAAAATGGTTTTCTCTGAGGTATCACTTCAGATTGGAAAAGCGCTCGTCGTTTTGGGTGAAATAATAATAGGAAAGCATTGACTAGAGTTTTTTGCTATTTGAAGTGATGTCCTAGAGAAACAATATTTTAAAATTTAACTTTCACCTTAAGGGTTTATATTTCAAGGTGAAAAAAGGGTCATGGATACAAAATGCTAAGTGGAACTAAATGGAAAATGGAAGCTTTTTTTGCTCTTATAACAACTCGAATTCATAACTTTCATTCAGTTTATGTGATGTTGATGATGTGCATGTTTTCAAGAGGCTCTCTTGAGCTTCACGGAGTCATACAGATTTTCGGGAAAATGTTAAAGACTTTATTGAGTCTGTAGAACTTCATGATCTGAACTCTACAATATTTTGGAATGCAATATCCTATTGATGCAATTCTTGTATGTGCATGTTATCAAGAGGCACTCTTCAGCATCACGAACTAATAAAGATTTTCAGGACATTGTTCAAAACTGCATGGAACCTGTAGAACTTCAAGATCTTAGCTCCAGAATACATTGGAGAGAAATTCCACTACATGTTGTCAGGCTATTAAGCTTCACGGTCTCATAAAGATTTTCAGGACATTGTTCTAGACTACAGAGTCTCTAGAACTTCAAGATCTTAACTCCAGTATACTTTGTAGAGCAATTCCATTCCACGTTGTTAGGCTATTGAGCTTCGCGGACTCATAACGAATTTTCAGGACATTGTTCAAGACTGCAGAGCATCTATAACTTCAAGATCTTAACTCCAGAATACTTTGGAGAGCATTAAATATCTGAATGATACCATTCCATGAGCAATAAATTTCTTAGTGGTATCATTCCACGATTGTTGTCAAAAGGCTCTCTTGAGCTGCATGGCCCCATACAGATTTTCATGACATTGATCCAGACTATATTGAGCCTGTAGATCTTCATGATCGGAGCTTTATAATAGATTGGAGAGTTTTTTTTTTCATTTCATGATGCGTTTGTTATCATAAAGTTTTATAATGCTCGGATTACGTGTTGAATCTGTCAGGAACGTGCGTATCAACCCAAATTGAGTCTATAGAACATCCAAATCTTAACTTCAGGGCATTTTGGAGAGCTTAATATACTTCAGGATTTCAAAATGATGTTTATTAATAATTGTAGGCACATACTAATACCAGAATTGTCAATTAATGCAGAATATGCAAGACAATATTTTTGACCACCTCCTTGTATGGAGATTCCCCATAGTCCACAAAAAACGACCTTGAGCGGCATGTTGGCCTCGATGTTGTGGGAGAAATACTACACGTTGTGTTGCTTTGTTTTTGTTTTCCTCGACGGTCTTGTAGTGGGACATCGATGAGACCATCAGCCTGAACCGTTCCATGCACAGGCGAATGGTACGTGAGAGACCTTTACCGATGTAAACGTCTATTTTTTTCCTTCAATCCAAGCGGGAATCCCTTCAGGTACTTTCCTTTTGTTATTTGTCAACACTTTCAGGGACTAAATCTCTCCAAATTGATGGTCCATATTTTCAAACACATTCCAGGATCAAGTGAGACCAAAATCTCGGGGAACAAGTCTTCCCACATTGAGTTTTCAACTTTAATTCAACCCGATCAAAAGATCATATGAAACAGCATCAATCCAACGATTAAATCTACTCATTCAAATCCTTGTGTTGCCAAAATGCCATGGATACGGATGAAGGTGACAATACTCTCATGCAATGATCTAGGACTTGTAGCACCTACGAATTTGTGCAACTTGCTTAATGCGAATGTGGCATCAAAGCATTTGAACTGTACTTTTCTTACCGAGGAGAAAGTGAAAATCGTGAAAACTGGTAAATAGAAAATAGTTAATTTTCACGCTCTCCTGTTTCGTTTCTGTTTTCTCTACAGTGATGCCCGAAGATAATTTAATATCGAATTCATTTATTATTCAGTTCCAACCTGGATCGGGTATCAAGATTGAGTCTGCTTGTTTTATGACATGACGTCAGTTTGCTCGTTTATTTCTAAAACCTAGCTCAGGTTGAAGTTCGTACTGTCAAAAAGTTCGGTTTCACACTGTTTCCAACCCCGATAATAAACGAATTCGCTATAAGTAAAGACGATCAAAGAATCACTTCAATAAAACTGAATCTCTTACACTGTGATGTAGGTACTTATCTGCAATGGTCAAGCTTTGTGAAAGTTCAATGCCAACTTTTAGCCACGATCAAGGCCTTATTTACGGTTGTTCTGATTATAGCTTCGAAACCTCAGGAGCACAAACATCAGCTCCCATAATACCCAGAGCCATGTTAACATGGATTCCAAATAGCATACACTATGTCGTAGTAGTGTGCTTCTCCAATAACTTTGAAGTGATATCACAACTCAAAGATCATGACGGCCATTTGCGGGCTCTTTTAAGTATACCCTTAACTATAACACGATACGCACAACGACGAAGGTTAAATAAGTTAAACATCTCTATTTCTCCGCTTCTCTTTGAAGGTAGAACAAACACACGGATAGGGCAATATATCTGAGTCGCTACGAAATTGGATCGCAGAACAAAAACTATGCCAAAAGATCGTTATTTATGACTTAGGGAACGTTTTAAAGTTTTCAATACGCATTTATCTTTTTTTCCCAGTAAACTCTTACAGTCAACAGATGTGTCATCATCAACTGTTTCATTCGAAACTCAGCTCGATAAAATTAGCCAATTTAAAATGCTTTCATCACATGTCATCAACATTCTACTCGCAGACAGACACGACGCCACCAAATCAATGTCAAGAAGCACATCCATACATTACCCATTACATAAGCCCCACAGCACATTACATGATTGACGTTAAGCATGAACGAATTCATCTGAAAATCCTGTATAGCAGTTGAGAGTTTGATGTTAAACAAATATTCCACTCGGTTAGCACGGGAGAGTTAGAGAACCAGGAAATGGCTTGGCTCGTCTTTGAGCGATTGCAGCCGAAATGGAAGGAGACAGATAGTAAGAATTACAGATAGGAAGAGATAGATCAGTTGGACATTATTGGTTTAATGGGAAATGTGACATTTAATGGTGATTCAATATTTAAGTACTCGATGCAATGAAGAAGTAGTAAAGGGTTGCCAGTTTTTTTTTTCGATTTTTCCCTTTATTTATCATAATCTTTTCTTAGGTTTCTTCTTCTGTATAAGGCATTTGATTTTCCAATTTTTACATACAAATGAAATCTCTTTTTTCATAGAAAAGTTGAAACTTGTTTTATGAGGCAGTATTCCTCAGTCGGTGTACACAGTAAAATTGAGAGGGTTCTATGGATAAGGTGGACTACAGGACGGGTAGGATTGTTCACATTTGTGTAGAAATTAGAGTCGATGCTTCACGTCATCTTAACTAAGAGGAAGGAAAATAAATAAATTAAAATCGTGTTCTCTCTGATCTAGCGAAGCTCACTGCTCTTGAGTTTTAAAAATTATGAGACATCTTTAGAAAAAGTTTGCTTAGTTTTGTAAAAGATTTGTAATTTTTTTTTTCTGTAGATTTGAGTATTCCTCTCTGACTATCACTTATCTAGAATCTTTACTTTAATAACAGTCTATTGTCCTCCTGGTCAAAAAGCAGAATGTTTATCGGAGGATATTCCAAAGTTTAAAAAAATATTTCTTAGAAACTAGTTCCGCTGTTGTCCCTAGCGTCTAGGTCTCTAGGTCTTCTAGAAGAAGATTTCCGTTTCTATATTCTGATTTATAGTTTAGTTTTCCTTTCCTGGGCGGTTGGATTTGAAAGTGGTTTTGCCAGGTTGGCCACCACCTTGGACCTGTGCGAGACCGGCGAGGAGTTCGCTTTTACGGATGCTTTTCAAGTCCAAGTCACCATAGTAATCTTCACTGTAGGGGGTGTAAATGAAAGATGTGAAGTTAAATGTTGTGATGTTATGGATGATGGAATATTGTGATTTTAGGTGAATTAGATACAAATTTTGAAGAAAGTAGTAACAGTGAGTAGATAGAAAAAATCGCAGAAAGAGGGTTAGAATTTCCAAACTTTGATGTACCAATCAGTGTGTATCAGAAGTGTGTTAGTTTGCACAAAAGATATCTGTCAAACAATTTCTTACCATCCGGGAACATCTTCTGGATCTTCGCAGTTTCCGGTTCCATCGGAATCACCGATCTTGAAGACAGTTCCGATTGGGCATCCGTATTCACGGGCAACTCCTTCTAGGCAGATATAATATTTACGGCAGTCCTCTGGATGAGCATGTCGCGAGAACGATCCAGCGTTGGAGATTTCACCGGCAGGTGGGCAGGCGAAGCCGTTGGCTACTTCTAAAAATTTGTAAGATAAATGTAAACATGTTTTCTTTCAAATCAATAACGTCATCTGTGCTAGACATACCTTCGTTCCTGCATTCTGGAACTTGATCGGCCCACATGCATACACGGGCTTCACGGTCGTAGGCCAATCCAGGAGAGCATTGGTAGCGAGAGGCTTCACCACTCCAGCAGTTCCAGAAAACGTCGCACTTGGCAGGATCGGCGAAGATACCGTACAGGCGGTCGCAGTGTGGAGTCGTGATTGGCGGTTCTGAAATAAGATGACATAATTCAGATTTAGATTACAGCAAACAGGTAAAATCAAAATCTATTCCTAGTAAATCTTAGGGGCACTTCGTAGGTAATCCCCATCTCAAAATCGTGTCAAATTACTCTACTCGCATCTGTTTCTGTTTGCAGCAGATGGTATGCATATGAAATGCAATATTTTATCAATTTGCCGCTCGGTTTGCATCGATTATTAGTCGTTCATATAAATTATTTTAATACCCGCCATTATCATAATTATTCGTGTAATAATCATTAATAAATATTTGATACCTGGTTAGGTTGCTCACCTATTGAGTAATTGAATTGTAAATTGAACTTGGTTGAATGTATCCTCAAACGGACTACATGTACATATAATTGTATTCATATAGGATATGTTTATTGGGATTAGGTATAAAGATCAATATCACGTTGAATGTTTTAGTTAATTAACCAATAAACGCAAAATAGAAACAGTAAATATTATCGCTCTGTATGTGGTTCTGTGATCAGAAGTCAAATGCAAACAGTGAGCACAGTAACATGTAACAATTTTACCTGAAATATGAAAAAGAAGATGGGCGCAGTGGGTCGAGGGAGTGCCAGTGAAACGCAATTTCAATTAAAATGTTCCGTCATTCCACAAGTTCTTGCGGTTCCATGAATACCTGGTTTTATGAAATATGCCGTATGAATTTTCTGAAACTCATCTTGCCATTGTTTCCTGCAGATAAAATCTTTAACTTCAATGTTCGTCTTGATGGTGTTGAAGATAGCAGATTTTTTTTTATTAAATTTAATATGAAAATTCGGCACTGCTGCATAGTGTTACTAAAGCTGCAGTGTGAGTATGTCTACACATTAGAGTAGCCATCTGCATTAGATTTAAATTGATGTAAGTTACTAATCACCCGTTTTGCAAGCTCTAATCAAGGTTAAACAAATGTGAATCGTTTCAAAATTCATAATTCTGCGTCACCGCAAAAAGTGGGCCTTCTTCCATTCTGGGTAACATTCGGTTCCTCGCTTTGCCTACTAAATCGTGTGTGTAATCGGTGACTAAATGGCTGCAATATTCATGGCTGCACTTCACATGAGTTGACGCGTGGGTGGCTGAATGTACAGTTGAGTGACTCCTACCTTCATACACCAGGCCTCTTACTACATAATAAACGAATGTAACGTGTGCTGTACAGTGGAACGGCACGGGAAGCTCAGCGTACAACAGGGACGAATTTAATATAATTTATGAAATTTAATTTATTGCATCCATCTCTGCGTATGAATGAGCTTGGCAAGCAGATTAGCAACACAATTTGTGCAGCCGAGTATCGTTGGTAAATTGTATTCGCTTTTCAAAGTAGTACCAGCTGGTACTGTTGCTCTTTTCCGGCCCTCCAACCCTTTCATCCTTTTCTGTTTGGACTAGAAATTGGGTGCGGAAGTGCTCGACTTAATCCCACGTGCAACAATCCTACTTCTACCGTTCGTTATACACCGTGCCAAGTGAGCGCCGTATTATTATAATATGCACTGCGCACGGGGCCGTATGCAGCTCTCGGTGATGGCGGAGAGATTTTGCAATTTTATTACCAAGCTGCGCCGATAAAACAGAAGTAGTCAATTAACCTTGCACTGTACGCTAATGAAGATAAAAATTCCTCCGTGAAAATATAATTGTCCTATGTTATGCCAAGAAACATGAATGTGTTTGTACGGGGAATATCTTAACCGTTCTTCATTATGCAGAAGGCTACAATAGAAGGGGCGCTTGGAATGTGTGAAAGGGAACTATTTCATTGAAATATTTCGAGATCTCGTGCTTCAATCAAGTGATTGTTTGTCTGCAGTTATGAATGATGCGCTGTTATATTGATTGCTGGATACTATTTAAATTATAAAGCACATTTCAATTTTTCTACAGCATATATACACACTTCGAAAAAGAAGTGTAATTTTCTGTTAAATATATTGCACATAAATGGAGCGTCATATATCATAAACACAAAGAAATAATTTATTTTACACGTGACGGAATCCATATTTGACATAAAAGATGAGACTTAAACAAACATGTCATGTAATATTAAGTGCTCCGAGACTGAAAAGTTCGTTGCTCGACGATAAGTACGTTTGATTGATACTCAAATTTATGTCAAAATTGACGCTTCCATATGTCACTCTCAGAACACCTAAATTTACATGAATTTTTCTAAGTGTGTACAAGTTTACATTAAATATCGTGTAAAGTTATGAGACATCTTGGGTAATATTTCAAATATTGTGTGCAACCGTCCATCTTTTTAAGTCACATTTCTTGTAACGTCCTACACAGCAAAAAAAAAATATATATAAATATCACATCAAAGGGGATGCACTTCAATCGTGTCGAAAATATGGTGTAATATTACTTGCCAAAAAATACAAAATTATCATTAATACAGTGCATTACGCTTCATTTACTGCATTTGTTTTACTGTGGCATGATTGAAGTGCATCCTCTTGGATGTTATTTTAAAATTTATTTGCTGCTGTGTAGTTTGCGCGAAAAGAAATACAAGCTTACACGCATGGATGTTTACACAGCAAAAAATGTTATGACATTCATGTAAACTTTTTGCCAATGTTTAAACATGTAAATTAACAGGAGAAAACTTATATTTTTACATGGAATTTTACATGATGCACATGATTTAGTAGTTATATACCAAAAGCTATAAATAACTTATTTCAATACATGATCCATTTCACATGTAGTTTCATTATTTTTTAATGTGAAGGCTATCTGAGGCCCTTCTGTTCCCACTTGTTCGATTAAGATGGTGAAGTAGTGTGCGCCGATTAAGCGCTGTAAAGCTCAATGGATTTACCCGTCACTTTGCCACAATGAATCAAATCCGGATGCACTACGCTTTAAACCCGGAGAGTGTACATTGATTTTGTTAACATGGAAATTTATCGAAAATTACGATCGAAGAAGGCTGCGCTGTGTTTTGGTGGTTCAAAATATCGTTTTTGGGAAAACTGATCTTTTTGTTCTCATCGTCCCTTCACTAGCCCTTCGTCATAATTACTTATGAAAAAGATTGCTATTTGTTTACTTATGTGATATTTTCTCTGCTACAACTTTGCTGAAGACTTCATTTTAATTGATCGTCAGGATAATTTATTATTAATTAATTATGAAGATGATATTCTTCTGAAATGATCCATCAATTGCTCAGCAGGATACATTGGTATTCCAGGCTCAAATAATAAGGCAAAACATCCTGACTACTATGTCATAGTGCAATCTGCAGTGTTGTCTAGGAAGCAACCGATTAATAATATAAGTAAGTTATCGACTTGGACATCAATTAATAACTAATTGTCTTGACGTTCAATCAAAAAAGGTGTCTTCAGCAAAGTTGTAGCTAGGAAAATTTCATATAAATATTGATAACACACTTTTTCGTATACCACTATCGCGATGGTCCATTTTGTGTTTTTTTTTTGCTCTTAATCAATTTAATCACGAAAATATCTTGTATAAACCAAAGATTAACGATGAAAATACACTTGAAAGTCATGCCGTTGTGATTAAAATTTTGGAAAACCTATCCAAAAAAAGTTATGTTATATATTTGACATTTTGATTTTATTTGGCATATTAGCCATATTCAGTTACCAGTTTTTAAAAGGATCTCAAACTAATGATCTAGTAAACAAAAATGAATGGAAAAAGCGTTAGATGGATTTTATAGAAAGCAAAGGAGACAAACCCATGTTTTACCAAAGAACGGGAAGGCACTGTATATCTGCTTTAGTTTTGGTATTTTTGTCCATTGCATGAGCTACCACCAAAAATTGGTTCCAATTAAAAAAAAAGTCAATTTTCGTTTCTAACGAACCAGCTCACGAAGAAACGTTTTAAAATACTGCACAACTTAACAGTTTGTTTTCATTTCATAAGAAACAATGTTTTTTAATGAAACGAAATGGGAATTACCTATCTCAGCAATCTATAAAAAAAACTATTTTCACAGGAAAAAAAACAGATTTTCAAGTCTCTTCATGGCAACTTATAAAAAATATGTATCTTTTAATTGGTTTGATCCTTAAAATTCAATTCCTTCTTATTTAAAAGAAGAAACATCATTTTCAATCTACTATTTTGTTGTAATTAAAACTACATTGGTTGATCTCACGCAAATTACATGCAGATATATGCAATCCTTTAGTAGTTTTGAAACAGTAAATTTCTTGGGGTCTTAGTTTTTTTTTCGGAAAGAATGCTTATTATAATTATAATAATATATTATTATTATAAAATTAAAGCTATTGAGCCTATATTTTTAGAAGGATACACGCCAGGGAATAGTTGGCTTACATTCTGATTTGTAGATATTTAAATTCAGTGCAAGGTACCACTTAACAAACTGTGATGCTTAGAACCCGTCCAATTTGTTCCAGTTCTACCAATGCATATACCATCCACCCACACATGCCCCCCGCATGGTGGCTACTGATACTACTGACTACACAGCTGGCACTAGGCAACTGGCTAGTGCCGTTGTTAGCTTAGGAAGCTCATGCAAACATTAGCGTGGGTGTGCACAGACATACATGCACACCATCACATCACGACTAGGGAGTCACCAGTGTATAATTAGCTAGATTTGGTACAGTTGCACGAGCTGATACACGGCTAGAATAAATAAATAAACAAAATCGCTGAAAGGCGACACAGTCCACACGAAGGCGAACCTCGGTGAGTGTTTGCGCTCTCTACTGAGGCGTGTGGTAGTTGGTGTCTATTGAAGGTTGGTTGGGGCATAGATTCCAGGGAGGACTCAAGCCATTTGAAGATATTCATTTTCGGGAAAACATTTTGGAAACTATAATTACCTAGCTGTGTGCGGTCACCACAATCAACGTTGTGCAGGTAATCACAGTTCTCTGTCAGATATTTTGAGTCTGTCGCGTCGAAGGCCAGACCATTTCCGCAGGTTTTCAGCTCAGCCACGTTGTTGTCGCACTTCCAGTATTTGTCGCAGGATGTGTGATGTGGGTAGAAACCAAAATCGTCTGGGCATTTGAAGCTGTCCTGGGCCATTGCTGTGGGAAGAAAATGGAATGAGGGATTATTAAAATGACAAAACCATAAAGCTGCCTCTCGGTGGTGGCAAGTCGTAATCCTGTGGAAATTGTGCTGGAGAAAATTCACGCAAACAATGATAGCTCACAACACGCGATCGTTCCCATCCATTCCGTTGTGGTCCCAGCCGTAAAATTTAACTCGCAAACTTGATGCTCGGTAAGCGCAAAACTTTTGATTAAGCTCGATTTTTTATCTCTCGCGTACACCCGTCTGGTGGTAAATAAACACCCTACATCTCATTCCTCCCATCAGTTGACAAGCGGAGAAGATTCCTCCATGATGGCTATGGCTACGGTTTTCAATAAATGAACTCCTAAATTCGATGGATTGCCACAAATTTTCACCTTCCGAAAAAGGAACGCAAATAAAAAGCGTGTACCGTGGAGACTCCGTCGAAGAAACACCCCGCACTTTTCAGATGAAGCTGTTGATTGCAGATAACGAAATGTTAGGCGAAGCGTGGCATTGCCGCTCAAGCTCTCTGCTGCGAAAGATGGTTCCCGGTGTTTGCATAGGTGTCGTCGGGAGCGGGCTCTATTACCGAATTTTAATGATGGAAAGTTTTCAAGGCAATCCGGTTCAATTCAATTGTCTACCACCCTCCTTTTATGCAACCAGCAACACGCTACTGTTTTCCACATTTCCTTACGTCCTATACATCTCGCAGAGCTCGTTGGCAAAGACATCGACAGCTGTGATGGTAGCACTTTTCCTTTTGTCTCACCATCGTGTCTGGTAAATTCGCGGAAAATTGAACTTGCTAGCCATAGAGAAGAAGTCAACGAAGAAAAAATCATTGTGGGTGGCACACTGATGGCAGAAATGATTGATTTCTGTCTAGGTTATTTGGTGAACTCTTGTTATCCCATCAACCGCGAGAAGCAAATGGCTCGAACAAAGTACAAGTCACAGTCGCGCAGTGCAATTTGTGTCAATCTGAAATTAATCTTTACTTCTTGTTGCTACCCATCCTTTGGATGGGTGGCTCATTGCGTCAAATGATTTGCTGACCCAATCACTTACAGTCCCAGTTTGCAGGTGGAAAAAAAATGAATTCGGTGATTCGAAAATGGGGAAAAGTATCGACAACCATAATAAATTGCCTATAATTTTAAATCTAGCCCGTGGCCTTGTCAGTTAGTGATAGGACAATAAACTTGAGATTGGTCATTCTACGAACAAAAGCAAAGAAACCGTTACCAATAGCGATTGTAAAAAATATACAAACAACGGCTATATGTCACTAGGGCAAGGACAGTTTCACGCTTTCAATTTCGTTCCGAATCGTAGTGAGTTAATCACTCTGTGTACAAGTGACTCACTCCGATCCAGAGCAGATAATAATGACTCATGATTTTTTTTTTTTGTATTCATCTGGGCTGGTACCAATCTCCTAGAATGATTGTTAGTTGCCAATCTATGCCAGCCAGCCAGCCAGCGACGACATGAAAATTTGAACGGCTCCGGCATTGCAGCTGCAACGTGCAGTTCGTCGAAAATGGAAAGAAAAATGGAGCAAATTGAATGGCACCAAGCAGCAGTCTCTGTAGTGTTTCGAAAAGGTGAAGGGAAACTAATAATAAAATCAAATTTATAATGCACCAAATCCCTTCCAGACATAACACCGTGCATTGGGGTTCTAGGTGAACATAGGAATTTTTGCCGTGTCTTGTATGAGTTTTTCCTAGGAAGATCAACAGAAGCATGGTGAAGGTGTAGAAAAAAAGAAACGTGAGCAATAAATTGAACTATCCCGGATGCCTCTCAAACACCTACCACTTCAAGTTTCAGTCTTGCTAGTGGTAGTGAAGGCGAAAATTTTCTGATTGAATCAGTCTTGGCAAGCTTCTTGCCAGCCCTCTACTTGTAGGATACATCAGGGGCAGGATTCAGTTTCAGCACTCACTTTTTGAACTGCTGTTATAGTTTTGTTTTACTCAGTAGAGCGTGTCTACCAAGGTAAGGAAAATGACCGGTTTCAGGGTTGGGTTGATATGTTGTAAGTGTCTGTTCTTAAAACAAATAATAGTAGCTTGTGACTTTTGTCTTAAAAATATACTTTTTGGTTTGTTTTTTTCCGTCGATCTTGTTTTCCGTGCTGAGCACCAATGCTACCGGCGTGCCAGGAAGGCAGCTCCCACACCTGGACCCTACCTATCGATCCATCAACTCATGAACCGGGGACCAACTGCTTTACTTCCCATCCGAAGGAAGGCGTGATCAGAGATGTTATGCCTCAGAACATCCCGGCGGCGCCGACTGGGATTGAACCCAGGCCTGCTGGGGTGAGAGGTAATCACGCTTATCACTACACCACCGGCGCCGTTATAAAAATATACTATATTTACAAAATATATCAGCCATCACCATTATTTGTCTGTTAGACATAGGATCAAAATTTAAAAAAAAAATTAAGATTTAATTAAATTCAAAATCAAAACAATATTGTTTGGGAGCTTCTGCTAGATCTCCCAGACAACCAGAAGCACGCAGATACAAACAACGAAATCGAATTTAATGCATAGAAATGGATTATACGTGCAAAAATGGTGGCTCTTTTTAAAAGATTTGAATTATGATACAGTACACGCAAATCTATTTTCTATTACATACAATCTTAAGTTGGATATTTTACATCCTATGCATATGTTTCATATCACATATTTAATTCAAGTTCTTGCAATGAACTGCAGCGTACAAGCAAGTTTTTCCAAAATACATATCTTGAGATGATTTTCTAGACACAATGCAATTGTTCGAAATATACGCTAACAAACAAATTATAACATTATTTTGAAAACCTTCCAGAGACCACATCATATCGCGAAACATTGCCAAATCTGCATACTTTTCATGCAAACTCGATTCATCTAGAAACTGTCACTAAGTGTATAAAAAAAATGGATACAAATAAAATATAACGGCAAGTTTAATGATTTAACCAAATACGTTCTATACTTTAAATATCTACACACACACAAAGAATAATAGAAAATCAAAAGTAAAATACTCAAAGAATCAAAGGGAGTTGTTTTATTTTTGATCCATTGCATCACATCAAATCTAGTGTTTGCCTTACTTTGTTAGGTCGGTAGGTACAACATAGACAAATCTTGCCACATAGCTACTTTGCTGGAAAGGCGAAATTCATGACGATGACGACGTTCACTTCATACATCCTACGGAAAAGCATCAAAGAATCGAAATGTATTGTTGCTGCTGATGGAGCTATTTATGTTTTAAGAATGGAAAGGTATAGGAAGCCATCGACAGCAACTGTACCTAAACACATTCTACACTTTATGAGGTTGTTGGGTTGTTTCAATGTATACGGAAAGCCTGGAGCGCCAGATGCGAGAAGCTGAATCTGAAGGTTGGTAATAATATAACATTCACCTTTCGGCAATGCTTTGTGATGCACAACAAGGAAGACTGGAATAGAGTTGATCCTGGAGTGCAATGATTTTGAAGAACACACACAAGACACATCACCGTGCGTTGGGTAAGAAGCAAGCAGCTATAGCAAAGACTATAGTAGCACCACCGATTTGAAGGTTGGAATAAAGATAATGCACGATATTACAAATAAGCAATAGAAAATAAAATCTTCTGTTCGATAGGAGCTTCTTTTATGTAGACAAGATGAGCGCGCTATAAAGAGGTTGGTGTGGTGAGCTTCCCGTTCTCGAAGCAAAACATCTAAACATGTATAAAATTTGCACGAATAAAGGTTTGTAATGCTGCCAAAGCGCTAATCTGCAAGAGATTATGATCTTACACGGCGTATGAGTGTTTGTTGGGATTCCTTCTTCTTTGTACAGCTTACACCAAGACGTGACTTCAGGCAAAAGTAGCTCTCGCTAATACATGATAAGCACGTCTTTCGTCGTTGGTAGAATGATCGAATGGAGAGCAGTGAAATTTTACACCACCTCCTAATTTCCCTCAGGGTCCGAACAATTGTGGTTGAATCTATGTAATTACACCACTATAACGTTTTGTATGGCAGCGGTTGCATGGAGTGAATTGAACGTCAATCGATGAAAATTTAAACCATGTTATCCACTCAAGACTGTCAACATCCAGCGGTGACTCGATTTTTTTTATTTTTGTATAGGCTGTTTCCAATGGTGGATGTTGGTGGTCTGATTACATTGGCGCCATTGACAGTATCAGTTATTGCAAATCGATCTGGTTGTAGTGCATTAAGCTTAATTGGTTGAATGGTTTCTGTGGTTTAGAGAAATGCTTGCAATTTATAGCAATGGACACACCAATAAGAGTTCATATTTTTGCTGGGGAAAGTTGTTCCATCTTTGGACTTGCGAGAAAAAGCCTTTGAAACTTTAGGGAGAAAAACAGTATGCAATTGTATTCTAGGTAGCGAAGTGGTGCATGAGCACGAAAAGCTTTACATCACTCAGTCAGACGAAATTCAAACCAACCTTCTGCACTATTTGATCGTGTGTTGGCAGTCAAGTCCACCCCCGCTTTAACCCATACACATACACACTTCAGTGAACCTCAAACAATAAAAGCGTTGAAGCATGTAATAACAGCGTGAAAGGAATGTGTTCTTGCTACGATCTCATCATCGTCAGAGCCATGACATACAAAACACGGCAGACAGAGGGCGTCAAATGCAACCCTTTCGGCAACAATGAATAAAAGGTGCTGGTGGTGGGTCAAAGCGAGGCAAGGAAGAGGCCATACATATAGAGAGCAAAATTCGTTTTCCTCTCGAGAATGGAGAGCAACAGCAGAAGCAGCAGCAAAGCTTCATAATGGTGCGCATATATTTGCCCTCGTAGTTGTCGCTGTCGTTGTCCGGGAAGTAGTGGTACGACAACGACCACTTGAACTGAACTGCACAGACTGGTATATGAGAAGGAGAGAAAGGTTAGACGGTAGTAGATTGCCTTGAAACTGCATCCACGCGGACGCATGGTGTGAGATG